AAATGCTTCCGATTTCGGAGCTGCATGCATTAACTCTCATGGGATGAATACTCAGAAGGTCTGAGCATTTGATTCCTGGGTGGACTCCTCAGACCAAACACCAAAAGGTTATATCACTGATCATATCATACTAGTGCTATTTTGATAAAATGATTCAGGGGTAGGAAGTCCAACAGATTTGTATCTATGAAAGTTCATAGATAAAAAAAAGAGAACATAATAGGTCATGACAGAATTTTAACTCATGTCTCCCTTTTGTCTCGATCTTGAGTGATGGACTTTGGAAAACATGAATAGTGAATGAACAATTCAACCTGCTCCTCCTAAATCTATAAAGAGAAAGAAACAACAGTAAAATAGGAGTGCAATGTGACAGAGTTAAGTTAAAGAGGATAAGCTGTGTCGAGTGGGCGCCTGATCTCTGATCTCTCAAACATGGCCTTTCTTCGTCCAAATCTCCCTGCCTCTTTGCAAACACACTGTATCTGCCTTTGTCCCCTTCCTTCTTTCTCCTCATTTTAGAGCTTTCTAAATCCAAATAATCCTCAAAGTTCCTCCCTTTCCCCTCTTCCTGTCTCTATCTCTCAGCTCTCTCATATACAGTACTGTCTATTTCCTGTAACAAAATATACTGAACACTGCTTCATTGTTCGTGTTTCTCCCTTTCTATAATGATCTGAGCTTTTTCTAACATTGATTTTAAGTAGTTTTCTCGCCTCTGTAGACAAAGCATTTTATTTTTTCTGTCTTGTGCGCACTTTCTCTCCCTCTTGACTTTTGAGCTCCTTAACATGCTCCTGTATCCGTGACTAATTCTCTTTCCCACTCTTTTCCTCCCTCCTCTCTGCAACATGTCCTCATTTCCATATCTTTGTCTTTCTTCTCGTCTTCTTATTATCACATCTTTTTAACTGATTCCTTTTGTGTTTCTAGTTTTTATTTTGTTTGTCTCCATTGTTCTTTTTGCCCTTCTAGTTTGTACTCATTTCAGCAATCTCCATGTGGCTGCAGCAAATTCAATTCATCACAAATTTAATCACCCAGGTTACGTCGGGGGCAAAGTAAATATGTGCAAACCTTCTGAGTCGAGTTCAACTTTGGTAAATGTAAATTCTAAAATTGCCTGTGAGGGGACATAGAGCTGGATGGAGGAAGCTATCATAACTTGTTATCTGTCATCACCTTTTTTTTAAACCTCCTACAGACAGTTATACAACAGAAGTTGATGGTACATAAATGTGTGACCGTTATTGTTCCTTTAGCGACTAAGCTAACCAGCTTACTAACTGACAGCTAAGAAGCTTTTAGCAAGCTTGTTACTCCCCCCCAACAAACTCTTTGTTAAATGAAATTATGTACAATCCCGAGAACCAAATGTCAGTGGGGAGTAAACAGCACAATACATAAAAAATTGAAAGTTATGGGAGCTATTGACTAGCACTAGCACTGTCCTTACTGTCAGGCACATTAGCAGTTAGTAGTTAGTTAGCATTTAGTAATTCACCTAGCTTTTGGAACAAAACATAAATAGACACACAGATAAATTATCTCTGTTCTCTTGTCAGTTCTCCATCCATATTTAAAACTGCTGAACTCAAAACACAAAACCCCTAAAACCATGAATTGGCGAATGCAAAAATGGAGGAGGTAGGAGTAATGATAGGAGAAAGAAAAGGAAGAAGAGGTGTGCAAAGAGGAAAGTGGCATAAGGAGAGAACAGGGTATGTAAAGGCAAGAGGAGAACAAGCTGAAGGAAAGGAAGAAATTAATGCCTCCCCCCTCCTCTTTCATTTTTCTCGCTGGCCTTTCTTTACATCTTCCCCTTTTCTCTAATTGTCAGGAATGCTGACCTAAGCTCACTTGTTTCTGTGCCAACTCTCCCTTTCTCACTTAATCTAATCATCACACCATTATTTCACTCCTCCTCGTTCCTCATTGTTCCCTTCTTCTTCTTCTCCCCTCCATATATCCTTCCTGCGGCTCTCTGCTGTAACCCGCTGACAACGGACAGAATGAGAAACAAATGAACATGGAGTGAAGTGAGGGGGAAGAAACTGCTGAGTCATACTTACAAGAAAATAATTTAATCGTGATAAGGCTCTGGGGAATATTAGATTAGATTATTGTTTCGTCTTTCCCTCCAGTGGTGAAAGAAGAACCTTTGTTGATATCTGTGCAATTATCAATAATGAAAAGTTGCTGAGTCATGGTTGGACAAGAACTATTTAATCATGATGAAGAATTAGATAATTTTTTTCCCCCTGTTACTCTGTCAAGAAGAGAAAGTTGTTGATAAGTAGAAAATTACCAATGACAATGAAAAGTGTCTGAGTTGAGCACTGAGTGGATTGTGTATTTTGTACTGATAAATCTCTATGGAGTAATAAATTAGATTAGAGCCACATTTTTTCACTTTTGACAGTAACAGGAGAGGTCATGATAATTTTAAACAAATTATGACGAACAGTTAAGTTTATAAAGACGGAGATGAATAAAGTCCCCAGTCTAGAAGAGAAACACAAAAAACGGTATTTGTGGACATTTTCAGACTTTCAGGCACATGCATATAATCTGTAACTAACTGGTTCAACTGATGAAATATCCCTTTTCAACTGTAGTTACTTCTAAATTAAAGCCATCACACATTCATCCAAGCACAAGATTCAAGGTTTCAGAGTGGCTGAAAGTGTTGTCTCCACCACAAAGTCTGGTTATGTTTTAGTGTAGAGATTTAAACATGTTTTATTTTAATGTTCCCTGCCCTTTTCAAGTTTTTTGTGTGTTTCTGCAATATCATTTAAGACTGTTGTGGGTTAAACAAAAAATAACACCTAACCAACGACTTGGAAAATACCAAACCATCATCTTACAGAGCTATCCAAAGCCATTAAAATGAAGAGCCAAAGTCTTAAAAATACCCATATGAGAGCTGAGCCATAGCCACACAGGTGCGGAACAATGGCCAAGGCCACGGCCAAGGCCACGGCCACGGCCACACATCCACCACCTGTAAATGTTAACCACATGTGTCCCTTGCAGGGGCAGATGGTGGTATATTCCTCACCTCCCCCCTCTTCTTACTCTTGTTCCATTTCATAAAATATTACAATCACCCCCTCTTCGCTTTGCTTTCACACACTCTTCACCACAACTTCTCTCCCTTTCTCTTCAGGTTTTATTCTCTGTCTCTCCACTGTACCGGAAAGAAAACAGAAAAATAAAGAGGAAGGAGACTGAAAGAAAGATAGGAGGAGAAGGAGAGTGACGAGAGCTGAGGTCACCTTGATCTACAGCCTTCTGCCTACACTGCAGCTGGGGGTCAGCGGGCAAAACACAGGAAACACTTTCAAGGACACATACATTCTTTAACACACACAGTTGTATTTAAATGTATTTCTTCTCTTTTCTTGTATCCATTCATATCTTTGCCAAGTCATTAAGGCATAGTGCACCACAAACTTAACATACAATACTGTACTGAAACACAGATATTATTTTCTTACCATATGGTCTGATATAATGCTGTTGGAAACCAGCTATTTAGCAGGAGACTGCAAATGCTTGAAAATTCAAGAAATCTTTAGTACATAAAGTTTTGTCTCAGTAGGAATGGTGAGTGTACTCCCCTAGATAACTGAAATATAATCACTAATCTCATTATACACTTACACACTCTGATCCATTGAATTTAACCTGCTCCAGGGCTGTGCACCATAGGTTACAGTCTGGGTTTGAACCCAAATTCAGACCAGACGTGAGGTTTCAGGGGCATTTAAACACTAGCAAAGCGTCCATTCAGTCAAAAAACACGGCCTCTAAAAGTCTGTGTAAAGAACTGATTGACTGACAAGTGATGGCCAAAAACACTTCAAAACTTCACTTCACAAAACTTGGACTGCTGTCCATTTACACCGAACATATTAGGCCTTATGGTAAACAAAGTTTAAAGCTCACCAAATCACTTTCACTGTTTTATACTAACATATATTTTCATTTATAAGTGGCAAAGTGTGTGTATATGTCACTCTGAAGGAACGAGATAAAAATACTACACCAGCCTCAACTCACTGGACGGTTACAAACATACACAAACACAAACACTCACGTACACACACAGACAGGAACATTGAGGAAGTCTCGGCTGTGATCCATCATTGAAGGACTGAAAATTATGACACCACAGAGAGAAAGAGAGAGAGAGACACCAAGAGGGGAGCAAAACCGCTCACACACACAAAAACACACACACAGCAGACAGTAGAGTCTCTGTGTTGTCAGTAACCACCTTCGAGACCCTGAGGTGTCATAAATGACTTCAAATAGGACGGAGAGAGACGGAGGGATGAGAGAGGAAGAGACAGGAGAGTGACGCATGTTATAATGACTTCATTTGACACAGCCACTCTCTAACACCCACTGCTTTTTCTCTTAAACACCAATTCAAACAATTTTGACACACACACACACGCACATGATCTTTATTAAGCATGTGACATCCATCTTACTGAATCCTTTTGAGCTTATTCTATCCATTGAGTGGATTTTTGGCAATATTCAATAACTGGAAATCTTTTGCAACGAAGGAATCGTTAAGTCTTATCTCTTTGAGCGATTTTGAGGATGACAACTCCATCATTATTATTTGAATGCCAGTTTAGTTTCACAGTTGGGGAATCAGGGGAAAGAAAAGTTAAGACAAAGCTCTTCAATCCCTTGGTGCAATGAGCATGTGTGACAGAAATTATGAGTGGTTTAACAGACCATCCCATATGCTAATGTCACATCATACAGATACTGAAAGCTGCTATGGTAATGTTACAAGCTGAATGCATGCAGTATATTTTGTGTCACAAATGCCACAAAATAACTATTTGTATCATCAGAATTTAATTAATGAAGTCCAATAAAAGTTGAAACTGCCATATCAGTAACTTTTCAGGCGATTCATGTGTGCAGTCAGCCAACAGAAGATCAACCGTTGAGAAAAAGACCTCCATGATTATGAGTGAAACTCCGCAGCTCTGACTTTTGATCTTATTTATTAATGTTGATCCAGGAAAACCATCTGCTTTTGCACTCTAAGCTAACCTAAATTTGAGCAACACACAAATGCCTCAAGGGGGGACAAGTAAGTAAAAAAAAAAAGAAAACCAGATATAGACAGAAAGTGAGAAGAAAGAAGACAGATGGAGGGAAGTACAGTGAAGAAGAAATTCACCAAACTCCCAGTAGACTCATTCACTAAGGGGTTGGTTAATTCACTAGACCCACGAGAACCTTTAGTGTGTGTGAGTATGTCTTGGTGTGTGTGAATAGACCTCTGTGTGGAACCACAGAGGCATTTGGTCATGTTTATATCCTTGTTTTTGGCCTGGGTGAGAGTGTACATATCGGTATGTGTGTGTGTGTGTGTGTGTGTGTGTGTGTGTGTGTACACGTAATGTGTGCTTGAACTCTGTGAAGGTGTATCCATACCAGCGGAGTGACGTGTAAGGTTGTGTGTGTTAGTGTGTGTATCTGCGGACAGAAAATGTAAATAAATACAAATTTATATGAAAGTGTTGTCACCGGAGATTTGTAGAACATTTGAACTCTGTGTGTGTTTGTGTGTGTATGTGTGTGGTGAGTGTGGGAGGGGTAGGTTAATCCTAAATTTACCCTCGGTGGTCGGAGGACTGTGGTCACATCTGGACTCAGTTTCTCTCTGCCTGTCTTGTTTTCTTTGCTCCCCTCGTCATTGCCACCTCACCTGTGCTCCTTTTCTCCTCTTTTTTACTCCATTATACACCTTTTCAATCTCCCCTCCTATCATTTAAATAACTGACAAAAAACCTTCCCTGGTGTCCACTTGGATGTCAAACGTAGTGTGTACATGTGTGTGCAGGAATCCTACCTGCTGCTTGAGCTGATGAACCAGATTATCCTTCTCCCTCTTCAGACCTGCCACCTCCTCCTGAGTTTTCTTCTTCTTGGATGAGGAGAGCTCAAGCAGGGCAATGTTGGCATCTTTCTCGCTTATGGCTGCTAGCAGCGCCTCTTGCCTGTATAGAGAACAATCATACATTTTGTTAGCAATACTATAGCAAATAAATTGATTTAATTCAAGCCAAATGGCGTGGTGTAACACTGGTGAATGCAGTTTCAGCTTTTTTCTTGCTAATTCAAAGCTATTAAAGTGTTGGTTCACCCAAATTGTAAAAAAAATAAAAATGTTTTTCCCCATTTTCGTCTAGTGGTATCCAGACATACAGATCGTTTTGGATTTATTTTCCCAGGTCTTGAGATAGCTGAGAGCTCTGTCTCCACCCCAATACAACAAGGTAATTCAACTATTCAACAGCAACACCTTTTTCCTGAAATCAGCTGAAATTTTCTGTGGATCATCCAGAGAAACATGGACACAAGATTTTCATGTGAAGTTTTTTGAAATGTCATACTACAACTTTATGAGCACCACAAAAAATTCTCCCTTGTAATCGGGGTGGAGACAGAAATCCCAAAGATGGATATCTCAAAATCTGGACAAAGGAAACCAAAATGATTTCTAAGGCTAGATACTAATTTGGGTGTACTTTAATGTCATGGTAAACCTACCGCATGTCAACAAGTGGAGGGAAGTCCTCTTAATCGGAGCACCACTTTGTGATTTAGGATAAAATTGGCGTATTTTTGCAAAAATATGGGCCTTCCTGGTGGTCAAGTGTGACGCACACCATGCAATCAAGATGTTTCCAGTTTGTTCATGGTGGGGACCTTCATGGCACATGTTCGCTCTTTCTCTTACTCCCTTATTTCTCTCCATACTATCTACTATCCAATAAAAGCAAAGAAAAAGGCAAAAATGGCATAAAATCTTATTTTTTGGCATTTCTGCATGCAGTGTAGCTTTTACAAACATCTCTCTCTAATAGTGAAACACTTAGTAATGTTTGGAGTTGGACTCGTGTTGGTCTTGCTCATGGCCACTTCAGCAGAGCGTAACTTCACAAGGCTACTTGGCTTCCAACAAAGTACAGATGGCAGAGCGTATTTGGCTCCAAAGCTACACACATTAGCAGTTAATCACATTGTGTTTGACTCGTTTGAACTTTTTTTTAACAATATCAATAAAGTCCTCTCATTTATGTTTCCATACAGGTATTACGCTATAGTCTCTGTCTGTCTTTTCCAGCCCTCTTGTCTCTCTCTGTCTCTTCCCCTTGCCTGCATGGTTGGGCTGATAGATAGATAGCATTCCATGTGGTTGGGAAGTAACAAGCCGCATCCCATCCATCCCATCAACCACAGATCTGGCCCAGTCGCTTCTGAGGACACCCAAGGCTCCAAATTCTCGGAATTCTGTCTGTTTCCAGAGAGAATCTAAATCACAATGGGCTTTCCGCAATCCCACAAGGCTCTGCGCTTGGCCACACATAATCATATATGCACACAAAGATGCAAACTTAAATGCGAAACAACAAATATGTTCCCTCTTCATCTGTCTCGCTGAATCTCAATTCTTACATCCATTATATTTTTATGTAAGGAGACAGAGACACATACAGATACAGTAGTGCAGTGAGGAATGCAGTGATGAGAGTGTCTAAATGAAGACAGATTACATGTTTGGACTACGTGAAGACCCACAGATTCTTTGGTTAACCTCACTGACCACGCTGTCAGTGTACAAGTGTCCCATCATGCATCTGGACTGAGCAATCCTGTCAGGAGCAGCGACTGAGGGAGTTCAGACTGGGGTTGGTAGATCGATTCTCTAGGCAAGTCTGGTCACTATCAGACTGCTCCGAGCTTGTCAGTCAAACAGTTTTAGATTTGTGAAAGTGGATGCAACATTTTGGATATTACTGATATTGTACATAATGTTAGTATTACAATATATCTTTATATTTCTCTCATTTGTTGATTATGATGAGATCTGATGAGAAATTGTAAAAAATGTATCTTTATAACCTAAAGACAAAGAGCACCAAAGAGCTTTCAATGGTTTATTGTTTGTGACTAAACTTCAAAGAAGTGCTGACTGAAAGTAAGGCAGCCTCAGACTCGTAACTGGGTTTTTAAAAAAATATTTTAAATATCCAGTCAAATAATTAATAAACAATAATAAGAATCTGACCAAGCATAGACCAGCCTTATTTATAACTTAATTTATTAATTTATTGATAGAATTACCAGCATTTCAACCGCCTATACAATATATATCATACAATTTTAATTTATGTCTGTTTAAACACACCCTTAATTTAATAATTTTTGGGGAATCCAAAATGCTCCTTTAAATATAAAAAAAAACAAAAAAAACGAGCTCTTGGACTTCTTTATGCAATCAAACGTTTCTTTCCTTCCCGATTGTGAGACACTGGAACATTGTCACAGTCTTTCCCTTTCTTTTTTTTATATAAACACTAGTACACACACACACATACACACACATACAGAGAAAGGCTAATGGAACATTAGTCTTGTTAAAGCTAACAGTGCGTCGAGTTTTATACCATATCTGAGAGTTACCTGCCAGCACATGGCACTTATAAACCCCGGTGATAAAATGATATTTATTCCAGATGCACCCGTCTCATTCTGGGCCTCTCAATGGTTCTCCCTTCATCTCTGTCTAACACACATAAATACCTGTGCGCACACACACATATACACACACACACACACACACACAAAAACACTCATTGCTTGGCCTTCTCAGCTTGCAGAGTTAAACACGTGCTTATAACAAGTGCTGGTTGTGGCTACTGCTGTTGCTATGTGATCATTAAAATCTGTTTCAAGTGCAGCTCTCTTTTGCCAAATCTTTAGATAATTCTACTGTCAGAGGGCACTTAAAAAACATAGTATGCTCTCAGCTCTGCTGGCAATATGTCCTTACCAGTGAAAGTAACAAAGACACTGCAGCCAGCACGGTGAGGAAGAAAGGTTCCCAGTGGATATGCAGCCTTAGATCTGTAACTTTCCTTTCAAGTCTTTTCTTTCTGCAGCAATATGGAGAGCACACTAGGATAAAGGAAGGTCTTCTAACAGTGAGCAAGGAATGAAAGCTAGTAAAAGAGGTCATCTCTCACTCATATTCTCCTTATTTTGGCTACATATTTTGTCTTAAATGCTGTAGTAATTGTGCAATGCAAATCTCAGAGATTATTTATCAATCTGTGACATATTTGTCTCTTTTCTTTGAGTGTTCAGCCATGGTATCTGCTGTTAGCTTGCATGCCAACAAACAAAAGCACTGCATCACTAAAACTCAGCCTCCTCCTTCACTGCGTTGTAAGTGACCACTTTTCTTGAGGTCCCAAATAAGGAAGCTCCAGCTAAAAAATGCAGGATTGTTGAACTTGGCCCAACTTTTGTTGCAGACAATACAACGTCGTCCAGCAATGCAGTGTGTTGAGGAGTCAAAAATGTACAAGGCCACATTCCTAGTAGATTACAAAAGTCAATGAAATAAGTCTACTGTTTATCTCACAATAAGTGATACAGAGGATAAAATGACTGCTGCTGTTTTAAGTTTCCATATTATTAAGTTCTGTGCAATGTTTTGGCATTTGATAAGCCTTTAAGCTCCTGCTTACTGCTTAGTTCTTCTGCTGTTTTTTCCCCCCAACCCAATCTATAGAGATGGGCTTGGATATTGGATAATACTGCAAAGCTCCCGGATTATGTTCAATGGCAACATTTTTCAAATTCTTTTTTTCCATATATCTGTGCTTGACATCTACAGTATGCTTAAAGTTAGGTAAAAATCATGGTCACGGCAAATAAATTGTGCTTAAGGTATGGTTAAAGTTAGGCAACTAAAACACTTGGCTGTGGTTAGGAAAAAAACAACAACTAACATTTATTGTACATCTGGTACAGGACACAACATTTGGGTTAGACGTGCTACGTGCTTATCCACAACTCCTTACTTTCGGCCTGACGACATAAAGGGCACACTACTTTCTACACTGGCATTGGATGTAAATAGTGAGGTACAAAATCATCCAATAATCGCTTTGAGTGTTTATAAAAAACACTGTAGAAGCATGCTGAAAACTGCAATTGTGCTTCATACAGGTGGGAATAATGGCCATATATCTATATGAACATTTTACATGTCATTTAAAATTTAACAAGTTTCCATTTACGTTATATTCTCTCCCCACTTCCTTTTAATCTCTCTCTCTCAACTATTCACTATCAGTATCTCTCGCCCACCCTGCATTTCTCATCTCTTTCGCTTCACCTCCCTCTCCCCTCCATCCCTCGTCACTCGTTCTATCTCCCCACCTCTTCTCTCTCGCCGTCTGTAAAGAAGGCAGGAGGCATTCTTTCCGTCGTTTGGCGGTCGTGTGCCATGATGTCATCGGCTTGGTGACAAGACAGACAGTAAGCAGATACACACAAACGCACCAGGCACCTGACCCCAACCCCAACACACAGACACACGCACATGTGGGGGCTCTCTCCTTCCTAAAACCACTTAAGGCCCCTCACTTTATCAGAAACACTAATGCCTGGTCTTAGATCACTTACATATTTCTGCACACACACACACACACACACACACACAAACACAGACCAAAGCAGCTTCCTCTCGTGTGTGTGCTGCGTTATCTCCTTCGTGCTGTCACCCCCTACTGCAGTCTACAGTGCGTGTTTGTGTGTGTGTGTGTTCAAGTGACAGTTGTATGTCTGTGTTTATGACAGCATGTCTTTCTGTATGTGTGTATGCGCTCATAAGGATGTACTTCATGTGTATTTCAGTGTGTGTGAATGTTCACAAGTTGTCAATGTGTATTCAGGGCTTTATCCTGTGCATATGTGTGTGTAGGAGTGAAGTGTGTGTGTCCTTGTGTGTGTGTGTGTGTGTAAAGTAGATTCAGTCCAGTGTGACATTGGCCAGTCTCTGTCTAAGACAAACACAGAGCTATTTTAGAAATAATCCCCTCTCTCTGCTCTCTGTTTCTGACTGAACAAAGCAGTTCTCCATTGTTTTCTGTGACACTGTCTGCTCTGGTTACACAAGAGGCTGCTTGTAGGACGCCAGAGT